GAGACTATATACATTTTATAATTAGTTAAATTAACTGGAAAACTATTGATAATTTTGGGGTTTTTTTTTCTCTTTAACAATACAAAATTAACCATGTTCTGTTATGTCCTTTAGTCTGTCTACCCACTTTTGGTGCTGAGGATACTTAGCTAATCCAGATTAAGACCTTGACGCGATAGACTGATCGACCTAACCCTGAGGCTAGCACGCGTGAGTTCGAAATGGGGTAAAGAGAAGAAAACTATTCTATCACCTGATTGGCTGACAAGCACGCGAATGAGAGAAGACAACTGGAACACTAATCGATCTATTCCCGATTTCGGATTAGTGTAAAAAGGTACATGAATAAATAGGTGACTAACTCAATCACAACGTACAATAATTATGAGAAATACAATTATGTCCAAAGCTAGGAATTAGCGTAGAAAATAGGGTGCAAAATATTATGTTTAAATTACAATAGCTTCGGAACAGAAAAGCGTATGGGAATGAATCATACATCGAACGAAAGCTTACTTTCTGTAGAATAGATTAGGGACAAAAATAAATGTTAATGTTTTACAAACTTTGAGTAAAATGGAATAACGTTCCGAAAAATAGCTTTCGTAGTTTGTCAGGGCTTCTTGTTTCACTGTCCACAACATGATCATTATGTAATAATCAATTCATTTTGTTACATGAACCTTTTCTATTTAAAAGTAATTCAAGCAAACAAAGAATCTTTAACATTCCAAATTTACAGAGAAAAGTGAGTAACGAAATAGAAATGATCATAACAACAGTAGTCAAGAAAACTAGGACAAAGAGTTAGAGTGGATAAGCTATAACACGCAAACGAAAGACATTAAAAGATAAAGAGTAAGAAATCTATATCCATCACAAACACCGTTCATAAGCCATATCAGTTAACATGAACGAAAACTAATCACATTTGTATTTCGCTCATCAACTATGAATACTATAACACCCTATTGGATGTAAATCGACATAATGCATTGATATTGTCTTAGTTTAACGACTCTCAACGGTATTAAGCAACAAAAAGAGATTTGTCTACATTTAGTTATATTTATATAAAGTTAACATCGTTTACCCATTTATTTGACAAGGCAAACAATACTTAGGAAAATATGAGCTTACATACTTGCAGTCTATATATAAATCCCAATTTTAATAGGGATGTTTCACACTTATAAAATGATACAAAATGAACAGTTATATGATAGACATTTAATTAGATAGGTTTGGAAATATATATATACCTAAAATGATATTTAATATTTCCATACAAGATTACGATGATACACTCAGATGTTTTAGACTATCTATTAACAATAACGAATCATTTTCTTATTTACTGGTTACATGAAACATATTTTGTTGTGAGATTAATTTTAAGAATTGTAGGAGATAACTTAATCACTATGGAAGAAAAGGTGACCTTAATTTATATCTATAAGTACAATATTATAGATCTGATCACCGAAAGAACCAATCAATCTTATCCAAATAGTGACTACATGCCAATTGATCATACAATACAAACATCAAGAATTTTAGGAACAGATTATAATACCACTCGTTTAAAATATTGGTTGACCTCTTAGCTTTGTTTTTGAAGTCCTTATTAGTGGTGTTTCTGGTATACCAGTAATATCTTAATTGTTTATACCAATCACTTTTGGAAGAAATAGGTAACATTGGAAACGTTCAAGCTGATTAATCGATAGTTTAAAATCATACGAAAAGTGTCTAAATTGAAATTTCATTATCTTAGAGCACGGTAAATTCTCTCCCTAAACTACACACTTTCGCCATATTAATAATTCAGAAAAGCTTTAGTTCGTTTTTAATACTTTGGAAATCTATTCAAGATAGATGATAATATTCAATGACGAATACGTTTAGGCATACACTGGAATCACAACTTAGTAGATGGATTCCACCGATTGTTGAAGATGGTTGTTGTACGTAACGCAACATTTTTAGCTTAGCTCAACATATTTGCTTTCCTCTTTAGGAACTCGTAAAAAAGATTTATCATGATGTTAGGATACATTACGGAGGCACTAGTATGTAGGCGTTGAAACAGGTCCTAAATTGCTAACACATCTTAAAAATATCGATAACACTTTGTCTAATATTGATGTATCTTAGTGTTCATAAAAGTCTATGTGTTTCGCATCTGCTCTCTTAATAAACTTGAACACTGTTTAAATGAGCTGAGCGCAGTGCTTAATACCAAACGAGCTGACATCCGCAGTAACAAGTTAATATGGATGGCAGAAAGAGTTGATAACCATTGATACTAACCGCTATTAATTGTTAATCCAACTTAACAGCATTGAAAGAGTTGACTGATCCAACTCATCAACAATAGATTTAGAATAAATACTGCTTAATAAAGTGAATAATTTCCAACAACATAATGATCAACAGGGAACCACGAAAATAAATACATATGGCGTTTGACTTCTCTACACGTGTCAGGCTACCGTCTACTGCAGTTTATGAAGTTAGCAGAAATAGAATTACACTTTAAAAAGATCTATATTCTGTTAAAACAAAGCAAATGATTTAGGCGACATACCATGGTCATCATTTAAATCGAATTTTAAAAAATCAATCCTGATGACTACTGAGGACAACAACTAACATTCGGTGATTATCACTACAACTCTTGAATAAATCATCTCTACTGAATCCACCAGACATCGGAAGCAGCACACACAGACCTTCCTTTAGACGTCACTCCACGAACAGTCGAAGAAATCAGGATAGTCATCGGACAAATCAATAGTGAGAAAGAGTTACGACCTGACAATATACCAGGTGAAGCTCTGAATTCAGACATGCACTTAACTTCAAGTCTGCTTCACAGTCTATTCAGGAAGATATGGAGGGAGGAACAAGTGCCGATGGACTGGAAAGAAGGATGCTTCATTAAGATACAAAAGGGAGATCTGAGCAGACGTGAGAACTACAAAGGAATCACACTACTATAAGTACCAGGAAACGCTATCAAAGGAGAGCTGTTGAACCAATGGAAGATTCAGTAGACGCCCAACGTCGAGATCAACAGGCTGGATTCCGTGTACAAACCAAATCGTGACACTGGGGATTATTGTTGAACAATCGACTCGATGAAGCCCATCCTTATACATCAACTTCCTTCTTTATGAGAAAGCATCTAAGAGTGTGGATAGAATAACATTATAGAACCTTCTTCGACATTATGGTGTTGCTGAGGTCATTTGCATCACACGGGATTCTTAACACAGACTACATTGCAAAGTCGTGGATAGAGGACAACTCACAGACTCATTCGAAGTGAGGATCGGAGTCAGACAAGACTGATTACTGTCTCTCTCCCTTTCTCTTTCTTCAGGTGGTTGATTGGATCACTATGACCCCTACATCTCAGGTGATGCACGGAATACAGTGGACAGCTTGAATCGAGCTCGACGATTTGGACTTGGCTGTTCTATCCTATACACACGAACGAATGCAGATCAAGATAACCAGTGTAACCTAAGCTTCTACATCAGTAGGCCTCAACATACACAAACGAAAAAGCACCATCCTCTAATACAATACGAAGAACACCAATCCAATCACACTTGATGGAGAAGCTCTGGAAACGTTCAACTACCTGCTCAGTATCATCGATGAACACGGACGATCTGATGCAGACGTAAAGGAGAGGATCGGAAAAGCAAGAGCAGCATTTCTACAATTGAAGAACATATGGAAATCAAAACAACTGTCAACCAATTGCAAAGTCACAATCTCCAATACGAATGTTAAGACAGTTCTACTGTATGGAGCTGAAAAGTGGAGAACTACTACAACAATCATCAAAAGTGCACAATTATTTACAAACCATTTACTACACAAGATACTCAATCTCCGTTGACCGGAAACCATCAGCAACAACCTATTGTGGGAGAGAACAAACCAGCTTCGAGCTGAAGAGCAAATCAGGAAAAGATGATGGGAGTGGATAGGACATACATTGAGGAAATCATCAAAGTGCATTACGATGCAAGCGTTAACTCGGAATGCTGAAGGGAAACGGAATAGAGGAAGACTGAAGAACACACCACGTCGGGAATCGGAAGCAGACATGAGAAGGATGAATAGCAGCTGGAAAGGATTGCCCAAGACAGAATCGGATGGAGTGCTGGTAGGCGGCCTATGCTCCTCCACGAGGGATAACAGGCGTAAGTAATGAAAACAGTAAGGAAGAAACAGTAGGAATTGAGTTTTTTTTTGCATCACTAGCCTGAGTTATTATTAAGACAAAAAGCATTCAAATGGTAGAAAAGAGCTCTATAATTATACAAATTAATGATGAATAGCAAAACGAAAGTTATCAAATAGACAGTACATCCATTAGTACAAAAAAGGCACATAAATGATAAGATGTTTTTAAAATATGAAAAAAGAGAGTAAAAAAACATAATCTGAAAAAGGGAAGACCAAATCTACTCTTTACAAGCCTGAATTGATGCATTCATTTAAAAACTCATAATTGTTATGTTATAAGACAAGATATTTATTGTTAGAAAAAAAACATACCAAAAATAGGAAAACAAGTTATCTACTTCTCTAGCTTCAGTTTAAAATCAAATGGATAATATGAAAAAAATAGGTTCATTTCGAGAAAGGAATTCACTAAATCATTGTATAATGAATAAGCTAAACTGTATAACATTTTAACATAACTAATTGTTATAAGGAAAATTATAAATTACTGAAATTAATACAAAGTTGATTAAAAAGATTAAGGAACATGATATAACTATTCTTTAGAATGTTAGTCTTCGTATACCTGTCACATATGTGCATACATAAACTAAATTCGATTTTATTCTGTCAATGAAAATATATATATAGGAGTACCGGGATTTGGCACACAAGAAGCAATATGGGTTATCTTAAAAGTAGTGTATAATACTTTTATCAAAAGTTAATAACATTTTTCAAAGTTGGATTCATCATCTACCAGACGATTTCCCACGAGATGAACCAAACGATGGTACTGTTGGCTTTCGAATGGTCGTAGTACTTCCCAAAGTACCAGATGGTAAACTGATTCTAGAAGGCACTGGTCTTTGTTGTAAAGTTGATGATTTAGGAAGGGACTTTGTAGAATTAGATGTCTGGTTTGTTTTGATATTGTTAGAAGAAACACTACTACCACTACTATGAATGCTGTTATTAGAGGATGGGTTATTTCTGAGTGAAGGTTGAATTTTGTTTATTGGACGATCAAAAGAACCTTGTTCAGGTCCAGTTATACTAGTTTTACGAGAACCAACACGACTACTTATGCTCATTGAAGGCATTTTTGAGATAGCATTGGAAGACGAGAAATACTTCCATTAGGAAGAGGGATCGATATTTTTGAAGGAATTTTTAAACCTGATTGTCTACTTGGTATTGTTTTGTTGTTGTTAACTGGTTTGGTAATAGATCGGGTTGCCTGGGGACTTTGTAGGTATTTGACATTTGATGCAGGATCTGACAAATGGGGTATACTTTGTTCAAGACCTGGTTCACATTGTGATACACTATTTTACCCGATTTTGTATCTTCATCATGTTTCGTAGGTAACGCAGAATCTGAATTGTTTTCCAACACAGTAACATAACTGCTTAACTCATAAGTATCAGGCTGGTGTTCATTTTCCTTAGGTTTCATCATTTCACCATTTGGATGAGATATATGTGCTACACTGTTGCTTTCTTGCGTGGTACAATCATTTATGGTATTTACAGTACTATCTATACTGTCTATAATGGGTCTGAGATTTTTTAATTCATTCGTTGTGATGTTGAATCACAGTCATAGACGCGCATGAAGTCTGGAGCATCGTATGTAGAATTTAATGGTTTAGAGGGTAATGTCACATCTGTTTGGTCCAAATTTGTACTCGAATGCACATCCGCAATCATATTGACTTTAGGTTCACAATCAACTGAGCTTGATAATGGGTTAAAACACTCCTTCGCTATAATAGTATGTTGACGCTCTGGCCTATCATTTGTATCTACGATTGCAATTTCTTCGTGACTGTGTGTTGCGCTAACCCCACAGGAACTTAAACCACTGCCTGATTTTTGCCCAATACTACCAGCGGCACTTTTAGGTTTACGATGTTTCTCATCTCCGAAACTCGACTCAGTAAGTGAAGTGTTGGAACAATCTAATTTACTTCTACTACCACTGTGTTCACGTAAGTGAGTTTCCTGGAGACGAGCTAATTCAAATACATCTGAGCTTCGCATACTAGAGTAAGATGCGTTAAATTTCTCAGAAATTTTGCGACCTTTTGTAACTAATTCAGTTGCAGAATGCGACTGAGATATTTGGTTAACTCCAGATGAGATATCTAAACTTCTAGTTACATCTATATCACCTTCATTATCCGATATGGGCAGAGAAGTGGTTAATGCATGAGATCTAAAAAGTAGGGAAGGTACCTTGGGAACCGACTCATTGAGAGGGTAGTCATTTACCTCCTTCAGTAAATCCATTTGCTCCTTCGAGTAGGTCCGTGAAAGAACGGATTGTTTTTGACTACTAGGCTTTTGATATGGGCTACTAGTAGCGCCTGGAACAAGCAAAGTGTCATTAGGCTTTGACGAAATTTTGCGGTTACTAATATTAGGTGAAACATTATTATTCGGAGTCACATGAGGAGAAGCAGGTCGTTGAGATCTGTGTAACTGAGGTAATCCTGAATACACGGCTTGGGAGAAAGGTGGTTTGGGTTTTCGCAATACATAGCACTCTCAACTTCTTGAGCTCTAGCATCAAAGACTTCACGTAAAGGTATCTTTTTATTGTTATTTTGTTTACGTAAAGCATATGTACCCTGTAAATTAGAATACTCTCCAATTGAGCTGTTTAAACTGCGGCGGAGATCTAACTGGGGGTCAATGTTCTGTATATCGCGATTTGGATGTGACAGAAAATTTTTAAAATCCATAGAACCATTCACAGACAGAGTTGAATGGTATATTTGGCGATCGCTATCATTTAATCCTACTTCATTAGGCGAATGTTTCCTCAGTGAGGCCTCTTCGATTAACCCTTTGATTTTCGCCAACTCATTTAATCGGTTCAAAAGATGATAAGAATTATTACAGAATTCTGGATCTCGATCAAATGGCGTACGATACCAAATTTTGCAACTGGCTTCAACATCTAAAATAGCACCTTCATCTCTGTTTCCATTTGAGTCTACTTCAATTGGACTACGTGATGGGTCTATCCACCAGTCGCCTCCACCACCTAGTCCCAGATGAGCTTCCAAAACATTCAAATTTTCTTTATTTAAAACAGCAGGTAAAAGAAGTTCAAATGCATCATTGCAATTCTCTACTGATTGATCTTCGTCAATAACTAACGATGATGGTGCATTGATCGTAGATAAAACAATTTTGGTTTCTTCAGAGAATGCAAGATTTGATTGCATTTAAGTTCTAAAATGATCATATAAACAAAAACGAAGCAAATTAGTTGAACGAAGTAATTACACAGTCCACCAGCCATATAAACTGTGGGACAAATATGCATCGACCCAAGTTGTGTAACTACATCAGTGGATTGGAATGAAAATAAAATGAAAAACCAGGAAACCGGAATAAAATTTATACTAATGACAACAAAAGTAACTAAACATAAAGTATGTGGTGAGAAACAAAGAGATGAAATAGCACACACATTAAAAACGGTTTTAATAATAAATTCACAGATGTCACTACGACTAATTCCCAGCAGTTACCTATTTAAGTCTGTACATTAATCATACGCAACATAGAACCTGGGATATGTGTACATCAGTTAAAGTTGTCACACCTCATCCGCACAGCGACATGAAATCGTCAAATGAAATTCTAGAGTAGAAGAGATAATAACATTATTGGTGGAAAAAGAAAAGATCATATATTAAAGAGCCAATTCGAGAAAATACAAATAAACGAGAAAGAAAATCATAAGAAATTGAGAAACTTATGGTCTAAGGGAAAATGAAGAGTAAATGCACGTGCGCTGTTATGAGTGATTGTAAGCCATCTCATCCAAAATCTCCAACCACTTATTTCAATAGTCAAGTAGACCCTAACCAGGTAGTCCTCACCTATCCACATGGCTTAGTCCAACAGTCAGTGTTTTTATGGACTGATGCTGTCTTGATCTGGCTACCCCTGACTTTTTTCCAACCTACTCCTACACCAATTGTCATTGCGCTGTTGAAGTAGTCGGTGGATGAGGATACGTAAAACATATCCTAACTACTTCAGTACATAAACATTCACTGTCACATCAGTCGATTTACCATGCATACCTAGTAATCTGGGCCTAACCTCAGAATCGCTAACTTGATGGTTTTAAAATATACGAGCGATGGTTCAAAGATATTTCTGATCGAATATTAATAACCTACAAATATCCTAGGTTTTTCAAGGGGGAGTGAACTGCTGAACAGCTAACTCATCCTGACTGAGAGGTGGATACTTCGCCTAAGGCACAAGCGATCCAAGTTGATAAAAGCCAACCGAATTTTCTGCATTCTTTACGAGATTTCGACGGACACCAACCCACTAGGGCTGATGAGAATTCCAGGATAAGAAAATTGATCGACAAGGCCAACTACTCCAATCCTGATCATTAACTCAAGCATTAAAGCAGACCATTCCTGAAGCAACGTCCTGCATTTAAAGAAAGAACCCCATCTTAAACAAGTTTGGATCGTTGCTGAGGGTGATCAAAAGACTATTGCCTCCGGTATTTACCCAAACTGAACTGTATGATTTGCATATCTCAAGTTAATAAGTGGATCTCTTTGTAGGGTATCAATCTCCAAAAAGTTAGATGATGAAAGCTGCATTCCTAAGAGAATATCTACGACAAACATAAACAAAAACGGGGAACATTAACAACTCTGATGAACACCACTTGGAGTCATCAGTTGTAATGGCAGTTTGCTACAATCTCTGACTCGACAGGTGGCGTTCGAATGGAAAGCCTGTACAGAGCTAAAATATTTTTATATGTTCTTAAATGACAGATAATGGCGTAAAACTTATCGATCTATAAAGTCCAGTGTTGCCTTAAGGTCGAGGAATGCAACCGTGGTTGGGAGTCTGAATAATGTTTGTGCTCCAAAACCTAATGCAAGGTGAATTATTTGATCTACACATCTACGTCCAACTTTGAAGCCAGACTGCTTTTCCCAAGGTTTAGTTAATCATAGAGCAATTATTGAAGCTACTAACTAAACTGATTCCTTAATGGTTGTCACAAGAGGGTTTTTGTCTTTCGTTGTAGACTGAAACGATTAGTGGTGTAAAGCAATCAAATAAGATTAGATCTAGTTGTTAGACTCTAGCTGATATCTCAATCTAACAGCTAAAACTAAACCCGTCCTTAAAAATCTCGGGAGTTAATCTATAAGAACCTTCTGCTCCACTTGGCTTTAGACTTAGTCATGGTTTTTCTACTTCATAAAGATATAAAGAGCTTATGTAAACATTTCATTCAGGTTGTTTATTAAGGGTAGGCAACTGAAGAGTAGTTGATGAGCAGTTAAATTGTTCTCGAAATTGTTTTTCCTATGTTTTCAGTATCCTGAGCTGAAAACGGATCCTAATATCATCTTTTCCAAAAATAATCTTAATGAATCCCGAATTTCTATTACCCCTTTATCTGCTAATTCTGAAACGTCATCCAGTGTTATCAATCACGGCTGAATTTTTTACCGCCTTTGCCTTAGCTATCACTACTCATGATCATTGCGTATATCTTTTATTAGTCTAAGTTTAAATTGCCTTTATTCCTTATCGTGTTCGAAGCCTGAAGGGAGGAGTTTCCAAGCACCGACTACTCCAGTAAACGCTGTTGAAACCGACTGACTTCCTAACCTTTCGGTTGTAGTAACTGATATTTATCACTGCTATTCTCACCGCTGTCCTGATATAATGCCATCTTAGATCGGAGTGAACATCACTTTGACGATTGACTAACTGCTTCTCTAAGTGTTAATGATAAGCTTTTGACTTTTTGTGGTTTAAGTGAGCTTGAAAGGATTTTCTTGCTGTGCCTTTTCTATGTTTAGTAAGACACAGACGAATACGTCTAATCATGTGCCCCAGAATGAGGAACAAACTCCTATGGAGTCTCTCCATCGACGGCTGATGTTGATATGGTCTATTTGCGTCTATCGTTGAGTTAGTTGTGGAGATCACCATATCAAACGATATCTCTATTTATGCTTACATTTGGTGCTTGTTAAGAATAAACGGTTGTCTGTGCATAGTTGCAGCAGTTGGTCGACATTATCTGTTCGTTCAACTGGATCACCGTAAGACTCACCTAAGTGTCTTTCTGATTTAAACTACCTACTTAGGCGTTAAAATCTCGTTCTGTAATTACGACATGCGAGTGTTAGACTTTTTATACTGGTTTCTTTTAAAAACTTATCTTTTGCTTCATCCGAACTGTAATCAGTGAGAGCGTAGATACAGACGACAAAGAAGCAACGGCGTGTGTTCCTATTTTTATGCGTTCTTACTTCTCCATTTGGTGGGACAACACACAAGCGACTATCTATTGAGATTCAATCTACGAGAACTCGTTCAGCTTTGAACTTAGTGCTGTGCTTACACCAGTGAGGTTACGAGAGGTAGCAATCAAGACTTTAGATACATGTAGGGTAAGTCGTGCTGGTTTTCCGTAATAGCTAGGTGAGGTCAAATATATATATATATATATATATATATATATATTCAAGACACAACATACACCTATGGCACGGTATCCTGAAATCTGTGCTAAGGACACCTGTCGGTCTAGTTGAAATAAGGTAGGAACATCGAAAGCTCCAACGTGCATTACACAGTGCGGTTTCAGGAGGCCAGGAATAACATCTCGCGAACTCGAATAGTTGGCGATGGTGGTACATGGAGATAAAGTTATAGGAAAAAGGTTGGTTTAGGAGATGGAAGGAATATTAAGAGGCAGAGAAGGGAGTTGATAATGAACAAGAGGATTTTAATTACTGTTAGAGGTGTGATGGCGGTCTTCACTTCCCAGTTCCTTACATTATGGAATGATATTTCTTCCTGAGGGATCTGGGAAGGAAACTAGATTAGTAGTGGTCATAGCAAACTGATACAAAAAATAAATTGATATTTAAATCTACCCTGTTCAGAAACCGATGAAACATTTGGATTTAAACTGCGTCGTGCTATCTAGGCTTTAACAACTCATTGTGAATATGTTATTTCACTAACCACAATGAAAAGATATTTATAAACATACTCTAAGTATAACTTCTAATGTTGGAAAATGTGTCAACGAGTGAGAATACGACAATACGATTAGCCTTACTAGTTATACAGAACAATTAGTAAAAGCAGCAGACATGAAGTTACGAGATTTAGCAATAGATATTTTAAAGGAGGACCAATTTCTAATGTATTACACGGATCAAAAATTTCCAGTGTTAGATGTGACAATTCTAAAGGCTGGAAACTTGACATTTTCAAAATAAGTAAAGTGCACGATGTGCGCCTTTAACTATAATTCACCTCAATGAGGAATAAAAGCAATTAAGTAGTTATATGAAGACTTCGAGGATAATAACATAGTAGCAATCCATGAAACTGTCGACTTTCAAACTACATCAAAATCATCCATCAGAGCTACAAATCTCAAACTAAGCTATATCAGTTGGTATCTACTTGCTGTTGTGACGTGAGAAATACTTCTAATTAATAGTTAGAGACACTAAGCGATATAACGCAAAATTTGTCGTAGTCGCATCTACTATACAATCTCAGTTAGTTCCTAGTTGTTCATTTCACTTATGCCGCTTGAACCGTGTTTCTCACGATTGCATTTGTATAGCAGTTCAAACTAATCACTTTGTTTTGATTTTCACTTAGTCACCTTAATCACGTTATCCATTGTTTGATTCGATATAGATTAATCCTTGTACCGCCCCAAACGCCCTGGTATGGCCGAGAGTGGGATGGGGGTGTTGTTTACGAAAGTGAGGACGAAAAGCGAATCTTCGGCGCTTTAACCGGATCTCAAACCAATGGTGCACATGGGCTCCAGTATCCTGAGGGAAAAATGGTGTATGAACCAATCGTTAGTCACCGGCTACCATGGGAGTGCATCTCCTCACGATGCTCCACTGCCTTGTGGGTTAGACCTTTAGGTCAAAGGCTCAGGGTGTAGCCCCCTAAGAAAAACCACCTGTTTCGGTCTGAGCACCCGGGCAGTATCACAGCCCACACACAAATAAAATGAAAAGGATGATATTTACTGAAAATTCTGTTCTACCTTCCCGTTCCCCCCATTATTATTATTACACTACCTTACACTAATCTGGTCGTTATTGTTCTTCTTTTTCTTTTATGCCCCTTACCTTCTTTTTTTTCTCTTGCCAATCTCATTGTTTATGTGGCGCATATATATTTGGTGCCTTCTTGTACCAATATTTATGTGTTCAAATAAATAAATAAATAATCCTTGTACCGGGTATCGCTTTGAGTAGCGTAGGTTTTACCTTAGTTAATTTGTGTCTCTATATGCCTGGATTAACAAACGTAGGAAATGTTTTCAAAACGCTCTCAAACTCGCCGATTATATTTCCTTATTTGATAAAGTGATTGTGTGGATGAATATAAGTATGGTTAATCACGGACACATATTTCGACGTTCCTCATGATACCAGCTGAAAACAGTTAAGGGAATTAAAAATCTGAAAAAATAAGGACTTCGAGTGTAAGTCCTTTCGATATAAATAAGTTTCATATCGATAAGTAAAGTCAAATCCACCTGTAGCTCTTCTAGAGTTACTCCCGGTCCCAAACCCACACAAAGGAGGACGGTTGAGCATGGGGTCAGCAACCCTATCCCGTAGAAAACAACCTTGCTGAAAAGACACTAACAAGAATAAACGAATCAAATCGTTTAAGCTCTGTACTCTGAGTTGAACGATCTTCGTTCAGAAAAAATATGACGCCTCATGGTGAAAGCCCAGATTCACAAGATCGATGCCCCTTCTAACAACCAGAGCAACAATTAATATAGGTATATAGAATGTCCGAACAATGTGGGAGATCGGAGGGAATAATCAAATAGCTGTGGAAATGAGAGGAAACAATATGGCGGTTCTCGGAATAAGTGAAAACCCCTCGACCCAAACTGGACAGAAAAGATTAGATTCCAGAGAGATGCCGCTGCACTCTGATCACGAAGAAAAAACTCACACTCAGGGAATCACACGGATGCTGTCCAAAAAAGCACGGAAGGCACTTGTTGGGTGGGGGAATCTCATGGACGCAGGATCATCAAAGCATTCTTTAAAACAGGGAGGAAGAAGGCGATCAAAATGCATGTTATGATAGCAACGACAGCGATCGGTTTTATGATAGGCTACAATCAATCATAGCGAAGTGCCCGAGATAGGACCTAACCATACGGATGGGAGACCTAAACGCCAGTCACAATATACGACGACGAGTATGTGGATATCATGGGACAACATGGACTGACTAAGAGAAAGAAACAAAAATGGTGAGAAATTCGCAAATCTATGTGCATTCAACATATCGGTTACATGCGGCACAACATTCCACCACAAACACATACACAAAGCCATATGGGTTTCACCGGATCACACTACACAGAACCAGATCAATCATATTCGCATCATTGGAAAATCAGACGGTCAGTGGAAGAGGTGTGAACCAGGAAAAGATGTGACATAGCTTCGGATTACCACCTAGTGGTTGCCAACATGAAACTGAATCTAAGAGAGCACTTGACAACTGGAGAAACAATATTACAAAGGCTCAATACAGCCTTCCTTCGGCACAATGACAAACTCAATGAATTCAAGATAACTATCAACAACACATTACAAACCATACAGGATCTAGTGAAAGAAGAAACTACCATGGAGAACGATTGGAAAGGGACTAAAGAAGTACTAACTTCAAAGTATCAGGTGCTGCGCTGCAACAGGCATCATCATAAGGAATGGATCTCTATCGAAACCCTGCACAAGATTCAAGAGAGGAAGAACAAGAAGACAGCAATTAACAACAGTCGAAAAAGAACAGAGAAAGTCAAGGCACAGACCATATAAACAGAAACAAACAAGCAAGTGGAGAAGACCACTAGTGCAGAAATATGTGGAAGACCGAGCAACGACAGAGGAAAGGTTTCAGGAGAAGGAAATATGAGACAGCTATAAGACACAACGAAGAAACTGGCAGGCAAATGTGGTAAAGGAGAGAGAAAAGTCAGGGACAAAGAAGGTAAGACAATCAACGAGACTCAAGAACAAAGGAAAAGATGGGTAGAACACTCAGAGGCTTTTTTGGGTAGGCCAGCTCCATTGAATCCACCGGACATCGAAGCAGCACACACGGACCTTCGTATGACTGTCACTTTACCAATAATTGAAGAAATCAGGGTAGTCATCAGACAAATCAAGAGTGGAAAAGCAGTATCACCTGAAAAACAGACTGGAGTCCGTATGAGTGTATAGTCGTGTAAAGACCAACGCGTGACACTACGGATCATCGTTGAATAGTCAGTTGAATGGAAATGGTCACTATATATGAACTTACTTAACTATGAGAAGGCGTTTGACAGTGTGGATCGGAGAACCTAATCGAACCTCCTTCGACACTACGGTGTGCCTGAAAAGATCGTCAACATCGCCAGGAATTCATACAACGGACTACACTGTAAAGTCGTGGATGGAGGACAACTCACAGACTCATTCGAAGTGACGACCGGGGTCAGACAAGACTGATTACTGTCTCTCTCCCTTTCTCTTTCTTCAGGTGGTTGATTGGATCACTATGACCCCTACATCTCAGGTGATGCACGGAATACAGTGGACAGCTTGAATCGAGCTCGACGATTTGGACTTGGCTGTTCTATCCTATACACACGAACGAATGCAGATCAAGATAACCAGTGTAACCTAAGCTTCTACATCAGTAGGCCTCAACATACACAAACGAAAAAGCACCATCCTCTAATACAATACGAAGAACACCAATCCAATCACACTTGATGGAGAAGCTCTGGAAACGTTCAACTACCTGCTCAGTATCATCGATGAACACGGACGATCTGATGCAGACGTAAAGGAGATGATCGGAAAAGCAAGAGCAGCATTTCTACAATTGAAGAACATATGGAAATCAAAACAACTGTCAACCAATTGCAAAGTCACAATCTCCAATACGAATGTTAAGACAGTTCTACTGTATGGAGCTGAAAAGTGGAGAACTACTACAACAATCATCAAAAGTGCACAATTATTTACAAACCATTTACTACACAAGATACTCAATCTCCGTTGACCGGAAACCATCAGCAACAACCTATTGTGGGAGAGAACAAACCAGCTTCGAGCTGAAGAGCAAATCAGGAAAAGATGATGGGAGTGGATAGGACATACATTGAGGAAATCATCAAAGTGCATTACGATGCAAGCGCTAACTCGGAATAATGAAAGGAGACGGAAAAGAAAAATGCCGAAGAACACACCACGTCGGGAATCGGAAGCAGACAGTCAGTCAGTCAGTCAGCTACAACGTAGGACCAGGCACATGTATGCATCGGCCCAGGTTGCCATACCTCATTAGCACAGCAAGATGAACACTGGATTCATAGGAGTAGTTAGGTCAAAGGTGGTAATATATAGGAGAAAGATTGCAATAAGGATATAGTATAGGAAGAAAGAATTAGTTCGTAGAAAGAAAGATGTGAAGTGATCTTACTCTCTTAGTTTAAGAGAAGACAGAGAGTGTATACACCGACGCCATTGTGATCGATTCTGAGCCATGTCACCAAGGGTCTCCAACCATTGGTTACGAAAGTCACGCGGACCCCAACCAAGTAGTCTGCATCTACCAACATGGCTCAGACTAGAAGTTAGTGACTTCAGGCACTGATGCCACGTTTTGGTTTGGCCGCCCCTAACTTTCTTCCAACCATCCCCTACACCGGTTAGCATTGCACGTCGCGGTAATCGGTGTTCAGGCATACGTAATACGTGGCCCAACCATCTCAGTCGATGAAGATTCATAACCTCATCAACTGATTTACCATCATTCCCTGGGTGTTAACCCCATAAGTTTGTGTTGGAGCCAAACTTAAGTAGGTGTTTAAGGGGATGTCCAGAAGTGCTAAGGATACTGTAAGCCATTAGAAGGCCACTTCTAAGACGCCTGTACTCTACTGGGTAGAGGTTCAGTGATTGGGGACGCTCTTCATAAGGCTTGCAATTGAGTCCCGAAATGATTTT